TCCAGTACATGCATTGGGACTACTGTCCCCTCCAAGGTCACTGGAGTGTTAACAAGAACAAACATGAATTACTTTCTCTAATTTTCTTATTTATAGATGTTAAGTAACAATCTCATGCGGAACTTAAGCACTGGTTTTCCAGATCTGGAGGGTTAGCCTTGAACTATTTTTTTGTGTATTAAATAGTCTGCAGTGTTAACTGGAAGTTTTCTGCCCTGATGCTTTGAGGTTTTCTCTTGGATTCTTTTCTTGGTCACGTCTTATACCCAGACATGCACAACCAAAGGTAAGATCTGTAATTTAATTAGATGGCACTTTATTGACTTCCTAGGATTAGGTTAATTAGTCAAGTGTGTCCACTGCTAATATTTGTACCCAGGCAGAGAGATCTCTTCACGGAGCTTCCATCTGGCTGATTTAGTACATGAATTATCTAATGGACTGCATATATATATCCTATCAGCTCCAGGTTAAAACAGTAAGGCAGAATCTGACATAAAACTATAAAGAACATTTAGTGCGAAACAGAGATTCTTCCTCTGTGAAACAAACGTGACATGAAACTTTTCTCCAATAGTTTGTTATGAAAAATTTCAAACGGAAAAACTGAAAATTTTTATATCCATTGCCCTGGATTCTACCATGAACATTTTACTCTACCCTTTGTCACGTGATCCTCCATTTTTCCATCCATTAATCCATCTAATTTTTTGGATGCACTTCAAAGTAATTTACAGACAGTAAGTCACTTCCTCCTAAGTACTGTACTTCAGAATAAACATGTTAACTATACAGGCTAAGTAAAACGCTTTAGGCTTAAAGATCAAAATGCAATATGAAGCAATAGAAGGGACAGATGATGTTAATAACTGCCATCTGCAAATTATCTTAAAACATGTAAAAATGCTGCTCTTAAAGGTATTTTCTTCGTACGGCCGGCAACCTGTGTCCTTGAGCGAATGCGGTCTGCGTCTGTCCCTTAGCGGCTATCGCACCCCTCTACTCCCGCTTCCTTCAGTATGTACTTCTGTTTTTTTAGACTTTGGAGATTCTTTTTATTTTCTAGAGAATTCTGCAATCATTGAAAACTGTTGTAATTTTAATTGTGTGGAAATATATCTTATAACAAGTAATTTTACCACAAAAATTACAAGTAATTTATCTTGCTGTACCGTAGAGACAGGGCGCTCTGGGTGTCTGGCCTACACTTTGCTGAGATCAGAGGCCTCAAATACGAGCACACTTTAGCTTAAGTTTCCTAGGAGCTGAAGCTGACATTTCTTTATTTCTGTTATAATAAAGATTTGGTCATTTCTTCTTTTTCTCCTTACTCCCCTTCTCCCTTCCTTTCTACTTCTTTACATACCTAACAGATTGAGTGTTTATTATATACTTAACAATGTTCTAGGCACTGAGAACAAGATATGTTTTCCAGAAATGCTACAGAGGGGCACCCAGGTGTGAAAAAGGAAATAGCTCTACTTCTTCTCGGAGGCATCCTGATGCGACTGTATATTAATTTGCTAATTCGATAAAGTTATCAGACTCATGCATGTAATGACGTTGGATTACATACTCACTTTCAGGCATATTTACTGCAGTTGGTACCTTACTCAGTTTTCTATATAAATTATTTGTATTAAACTAAATACATACTTAATTCACGTTCTAAAGGGAATTACTAATATATTTGGTTATAAACTTTCCAGGAATAGATATTCTGTGTGTGTGTGTGTATTTTCCTAATCGGTGGGCCTTCTGACTTTACATTTTTAAGATCAGGTCTGGTTCAAAGTTCAAAAAATGTTGCTATAATCCCGCATACACATCCAACTCAGTCTGGGGAGCATGTAATTTTGTGAGGCATAGTCACTCTCTTTGCTGTAACCTATAACTGCTTACCTTCCCATGGCTGCTGTGACTTGCCCTTCGAAGTTACGCTGGGCCCTGCTCTTCTCCAGTAAGGACATGGCCTTATAATCTGCTCAGTGTCATGTCATTGGAGCAGGCAGTGAGTGGAGTCTGCTTCACACCCGGCCCTTGTCCCTACCGAAAGGAAACCTCACTACTAAATGACTCCCTGTGGTTACCAAGTCCTGATTCCGCTGCCCTAAGGTTTCCAAGTGATGGCTTTTACTCCTGGGATAGTTGCACATCAAGTTGTCAAGTTTATGATCCTTCTTACTCTCTAGGTATTTAACTGAGCTAGTGGTTATAGCTGACTCATAAACCCATAAAACACTTCAGCGGTAAACTAAGTAGCCACTGCACCTGCCCTCCAAATAATGAACATTGTCCATTACTAAAGGTTAGCATTGGAGTTATTAAAAGTTACCTTACCGCTGAGTTTTCTAAAACAGAGGCTTCCAAACTTCTTTTTATTATGATCCAGAGTAAGAAATGCATTTGCTAGGTCAGCCCAGGAGCACACACAGACACACAGACACACATGCACGCACGCACCTACTATGTATGACAGACTCTGATATTTCCTGTTTTGTTCTCCTCTACTCTATTCTCTCTCCCTGAAAAACACCATACTATACAGTTTTTACTGTCTATTCACGAGTTATGACTTTTAAAAACACTGGCTTAAGAAAAGTCATATACTGAAACAGAAAGGTAAGGCTCAATGAAGTTTCCTTCACAATTAAAACGTACTTGTTTCCTTCACCGTTATACGTCCATTTCGTGGTTCCAAGTCCTTCATAGGCTGAAGCCCAGTAATAGATGCAGGCGTTGATGTGCAGAGTGAACAGCAGGTACCCCGTGGTCCGGAAGACTCTGTCGGGAGGACACGTGCAGAATGAGGAGCATGGCCTATTCTAACGTTTCCTGTTCCTCAAGGTCTCCACCAAGCCCCTTGCTTTGAATCTGCAAGCTGCTTGCTCCCCTCGGCACGCTGTAAAATGATGGTGGCCTGGCGTGCTTTCTGCCTGCGATGTCTTAACTGCGACTGACAGAGGGTGAAAAACCTTCCTCTCTTTTCACAGAGGGTATAAATCAACTCCCTGAAAGACCTGCCTCGAGGGTCACTCTCCACTATGAGTCCCATAAAACACACCACGCTGATTTAACTGGGTATCTCAGGAAAGCTCATGGGGTTTTACGCTGTGATCAACAGTGACCAGAGGTCTCTGTGCAAGTGAGGCTCGAAACAGCAAATAAATGAAATTCAGATTAGAATGAACTGTCACGAGAGAGCTGGACCGTCCACTCGTGACAGGGCACGTTGAACTGTATTGTTCTGATGGGAGCAAGCAACTCAGCCCAGTTTTTGTTCTTACATCCTTCTGAAATCGAGTTTGACTTTCGTACTTCGCGAATCTGTTTTAGGACATGATCTTCTGTTTCATCCAACCAGGAGCCAAGAGCCTAAGGCTGCCCTGCTGCCTTTGCAGGGAGTCACACTCTCCCTGCCTGGGAATCACCGTCCCCCCCGCCCCGCCACCCGAAGCTTGCAGAGCCATCTTTACCTGTAGACATACGCCTTGTCCATCGCAGACTCCAGGCGATGATTAAACTCAAAAAATGAAGTGTACTGGGTAGAAAACAAGCACACACACACCCCCCAAAAAAAAAAAAATCCCCAAATGTGTTAGTCTTAAAGACATCTACTCAAGTAAAACTATACGAAATAGAATTTAGTTGTCACTGAAAATATTCTATTCACGTCTTAATAAAAAACTGAGCTCTGTTTTGTGGTATTCTCCTCTAGGCAGTACATTTTAGCATGGTGCTAAACTTCCAGAGCTTCTTGCTTTATTTTGTTTCTACCCTCTAGTCTTGTTTATAATGTTTATTGAAAATCAAACTTAAAATCATTTCCTTCCTTTGTCTTTTTAGAGCATATAGTAGAACTCTATTTTACAATAATTAAAACCATGCTCTCCCAAAATGTAAGTAAAATAAGAAAAGCATGATATAATGCACTGAAGACATAAACAGGTGTTGTACTCTGTGGCTCAACACTAGCAACACTTTTAAGCAAGTTACATTAAATGTGTATTTATTTCAACAAAATTTAAAGTCCAGTAACTATTAGCACTGGTTAGCAATTCGTGATATTGTTCAGAGAGACAGTGAGTTTATTTACATCTTGTCCAAACAGAGCTACTGTTTCTCTCATTTTTTTCCT